GCCAGCCACTGTGATCAGCCATTCCTTGTCCAGGGCTCTGGATGACTTCCCAGCTTGCTGGGGTCTGCTCTTTGGTATAGTCCTATCTTCATGCCCATTCTAGTTCGATATCAAGATAGTCTGTGTCATTTGGAATGGTAATCCACAGGAAGAAGAAGGGAGGGAGGTCTCTGGAAGCCGCGTACATCTGGGGACTTTACTGCTCTGCAGATATAATCCACACCAACCTCGCTATTTAAGTTTTGGTGACTCAAACATAGCTGAGTCATTGTCCTCTCTGTAGGCATATTGCCCACACTCCTCCACTAAGGGCTGCTCACCAAACACACTTTATTTAGCAAACAATCCATGTATTAAGTGAAGCCTGGATTTGCCTCTGGCTATGAGGCCATGCAGCTCCACCTACCATGTTATTTCAATATCAATTACTCCAGTTTCTATATTATTTCACTTTTTTACATGGCTTCTCCTACCTGTAGCTAGCTGGATCATACATGCCTGAATATAGAAAACTATAAAATGTTATTGAGAAGTTGTTATTGAAGGCTATATCTTGTTTATGGTGGAAAGGCTCTATATTGAAGATACCAGTTTTCCCAAAATTGATCAGTAGATTTGATACAATCCCAATGAAACCCCACAAGTTTATGTGCTTGTGTGTAGCTAGGTTGAGTGAACAGCATCAATAAAAGCACAGAGGTATGGAGAAAAAGTTGATGTGTAAAGTAAAGCAAGCAGTTTGGGTCTCCAGAGATGAGGTTGGAGGGGTTGGCTAACAGCAAGATCTTAGAGAGCACTGCACTGTTTTCTGTTTGCTTTTTTTTTTTTTTTTTTTCTGACTATGATGGCAAGGGTTTTAAAAAAGAGTTAATCAGGTTTACTCTACATTTTAGAAGGATCATTCTGGCTTCCCTTTCATCAGTTCTCATTTGAAATATAGGTAACTACATTTCCCAGGCTTCATTGTATTATGATTTCCAGGTAGTTTTTTTTTTTTTTTTTGAACAGGCAGAGTGGACAGTGAGAGAAAGATCTTCCTTTGCCGTTGGTTCACCCTCCAATGGCCATCATGGCTAGCGCGCTGCAGCCAGCACACCGTGCTGATCTGATGGCAGGAGTCAGGTACTTATCCTGGTCTCCCATGGGGCGCAGGGCCCAAGCACTTGGGCCATCCTGCACTGCACTCCCTGGCCACAGCAGAGAGCTGGCCTGGAAGAGGGGCAACCGGGACAGAATCCGGCGCCCCAACCGGGACTAGAACCTGGTGTGCTGGTGCCGCAAGGCGGAGGATTAGCCTAGTGAGCCGCAGCACCGGCCCTCAGGTAGTTTTAATCAGTGAAGATATGGGTAGAGATTGAACGTCTCAAGAGAAGAAACCAGGCTACTCAGGAGCCCTTCCCACTTTTGCAGACTCCCAAGTCTTCCTAATTCTACACCTTTTCTATGGTATCACCTGTGGCTCCAACTCTGCCTCAACTACTCAGCGATGGCCCTGTCTTCCACTGTTATCCTCTGGCTTCTAGATCCAGAAAATATTACCTCCCTTCATAGTTCTTCCAGTGTTAGGAACGGTGGGCTGCTTCTGCCTTTGCTAATCTCTGGGTTGTTCATCATCCCTTGTTTTGTTTTCTGAGTTTTCTATTTCCTGTGTAAAGTTATCGCTGTTTGAAAGCTAGAGTTGCTCCTTTTTTCTGACTGGATCTTAAACAATATAGAGGGTTTAAGTTTGAGATATAAAAACCATGTAGGAAGCCACTCTGATAGTTCAAGGGAGAAATCCTGAGAACATGACCTGGAGCAGTAGTAGGAGGGATAGGAGAAACATGTGTAGTTAATAATCATTTGGAGCTAAGATTGATAGACTTGGTCATTGACCAGATAGGGTGGAGAGAGGGAAGAAGAATCTAGGATAGCTCCTGGTCTTAAGGGATTAGGTAAATTGTGGTTTCATCAGCTGAAATTCGAACAGAGAAGCCACACAGGAGGCTAGCAATAAAGGAGAGCTAATGAGCACACGTTTGAACATGTTGAGAGTCCTGTAGTAGGGGGATCCCAAGTGGATGTGAATCTGAAGTTCAGGAAAAAGCTCAGGGCTAACCAGAGATTTCAGAGTAATCAATACATACAATATATTAAATCCAGGACTATACGTTAAGACCATTCCAGGAAAGTTGTGTAGTGAAGATGCACGCTTGCTTCTCTCCCCAGCCCCCATATTAAAGCCAATCAGTCAGGGCCGATGTTGTGGTGTAGTGAGTAAAGCAGCCACCTGGAATGCTGGCATCCTATATGGCTGCTGGTTCGAGACCTTGCTGCGCCACTTCTGATCCGGCTTTCTGCTATGGCCTGGGAAAGCAGTAGAAGATGGCGCAAGTCCTTGGGCCCCTGCATCTGCATGGGAGACCCAGAAGAAGCTTCTGGCTCCTGGCTTCAGATTGGCACAGCTTCAGCCATTGCAGCCATCTAAGGAGTAAACCAGTGGATGGAAGACCTTTCTCTCTGTCTTCCTCTGCCTCTGCCTCTCTGTATCTCTGCCTTTCAAATAAACAAATAACTGAATCTTTTTTTTTTAAAGCCAATCAATCAAAACAAATACTTTCTTGTGACTGTATCACATTTAGATCACACCCACCTCCATGGCCAGGCTCTTCTAAGGAGCAGTTTTCTCTGGCCGCTAAATCTTCTCTACATTAAATTCAATGCAATTAGGCCTCTGCCCACTTCATCATCTTCAGTTGCTGTGGTTGTACCTGATTAGCTCACTCCCAAAGGCTGAGTCCTAAGTACACTCTTCAGTCTTTGTACTTGGCCTTTTCTTTGGCATTTGATATCATTAAGCACATTTTTTTTTTTTAAAAGGCAGAGTGGACAGAGTGGACAGTGAGAGAGAGAGAGACATAGAGAGAAAGGTCTTCCTTTTGCTGTTGGTTCACCCTCCAATGGCTGTCATGGCCGGCGTGATGCGGCCGGCGCATCACGCTGATCTGAAGCCAGGAGCCAGGTGCTTCTCCTGGTCTCCCATGCGGGTGCAGAGCCCAAGGACTTGGGCCATCCTCCACTGCACTCCCGGGCCATAGCAGAGAGCTGGCCTGGAAGAGGGGCAACCGGGACAGAATCCGGCGCCCCGACCGGGACTAGAACCCAGTGTGCCAGCGCCGCAAGGCAGAGGATTAGCCTAGTGAGCCACGGCGCCGGCCTAAGCACATCTTTCTTAAGTTACTTTCTCCTGTGCAATATCAGCCTCTCCTTCGTCTTCCACTTCCCTTCCTCTTGTGTCCTGCCTTTGCAATTAATCCTTGTAATCCACAGTCATCTTGGCTTCTTATCCTTTTTCAGGGTCCACATTGGTAGGAAGCTGGAGTCAGGAACTAGAACCAGGAAACAAACCTAGGTACTCTGATTTGGGATGTGAACATTTAATCACTGGGCTAAACACCCACTCCTAAACCTTCCTTTCAACTCATTTTCCAGGAATTTTTTGAAGTATCCTGATTCTGCCTGGAGAGCTATTCATAGTTTTGAGTCTGGAAAGCTACTGCTTAGCCTTAAGCCCTAGTGTCTGAGGCTCGTTAACACCAGCCTCCTTCATAGACACTTGCACAGGCCTCTTCAGCGCTCCGATTCTTCCATATTTCTGGATACATATGTATTGGCCTAGTATCGCATGCAGCACATTTTTCTTAGCATATTTTATTTCAAGTCCTATTGTTTTTCCTACCTTCTCTTACAGAACTTCATGGTAGGGACTATATTTTATTTATATTTGTTTTCTCAGTCTTTTGCCCAATGCTTAGCACACTGAAGATGCTCATCAAATATTCAATTGATTAGGACAAACGAGCAAGGTTCTCCCTCAGTGCTGGAAAAGATCTATTGTATGGCCATTCCTCCTTTATCCATGCAAAAGAAGATGGTCCTTCTGTGTGGGTTTTTAGTGGGGAGTTCACTGACTGGTCCATTCATTAAACTCTTACAGAGCACCCAGCAGGTTTCAAGCATGGAGGAGATGTATACACAAACATCCACCTTGTCTTCCAGCAAAGGAGCAGCCATGCTGCGTTTTGGTTAGTCACTGCTACAGGGGAATGCAGAGCAGAATGAAGAGCGGCTAAGGTTGAAGGCAGACCTAACACTGTGATTCCCCCATCTCCTTAGCACTGCCTCCTCATCTCACTTCAGCGTGGTAAGGTTGGCAAGCCTTTCTGGGACCAGAGGCAGCCACAAGTCAGGCAGGCACATGGAGGAGAGAAATGTGATATTTTTGGGACAGACAAGTTCAGCTTGATGCAGGGAAGGCATGTTTGGGGATCATGGAGTCTTCTAATCTTTGTTCTTTTCCAAGGCTTTAATTCATGCAGAGTTTCCTGTGCTCATTCCGAAGGAGGAAGAGTTCCCTTTATCTCCTCCATTGCCAAAACCTGCTCTCAGAAAGGAATCTGAAATGTATCTACTGTAAATAATAAAATATATAATAAAGATTCTTCTTCTAGTGGGTCTTCTTACTGAAATAGCACTGAAAGAGTTGAGAGCTGAATGATGCTTGGGATTGCAGTCTGGTTAACATACAAAAAGACATGAAACCTCCTGAACCACAGAAGTAGTTAACTTCACATGCCAAGTTGTCAACAGGGGAGGGGACAGAGGTGGGGGTGGGTGAAGAGGAGGAGAAAAGGTCAGTACCGAAGGGACAGGTTGCACTTGGGCTAATAGAAGGTCTGGGGTCAGCAGCGCTTGGAAGAAGTGGGACAGGATCTTGAGTTCTGTGACTCAGGCGGCAAAAACCACCAAGGCCAATGAAGTGACCCAGCTACCCTCGACTTTTAAGCCTTGTATGCTCCCTAATAGGAAGAGCAGGGAGAAGAAAGCGGGCCCCGGTAGAGGCCCAAGAAAAGCCTGAGGGTCTTAGAGAAACCCTTGCCCCTAAGGCAGGCCCGGGGAGGGGCCGCGGGCGGGCGCTGGGAGGGGCCTCGGGAACATCCTCTGAGCAGGCGCCTCGGAGCACGACGGGAAAATCCTTCCTCCCTCGGACATGGCGCCCACCTGCCCGGCGGCGGCAGCAGCCGGCTCCCGCACCGCGGCTCGCGCGTCCGGGCAGAGCAACTCCAGCTTCAGTCGAGGGGTGGAAGGAGGCGGAGGGCGCGGCGGCGGCGGTGGCGGCGGCGGTGGCGGCGGCGGTGGCGCCGCCTAAGGGCCCGGGTGTTAAATCTGAGGCGGCCTGGGGGCCGGGCCGGGGCGGGCAGGGCGCAGCCGGGCGCTCGCCGGCCCCGGGTCGCCGCGGGCATGGTGTCCCAGGTGCTGCAGCTGCTTCGGCAGGGCGTGTGGGCCGCGCTCACGGGCGGCTGGTACCACGACCCTGAGCAGAGCAAGTTCACCAACAGCTGCCACCTCTACCTGTGGCTGTTCCTGCTGCTGCTGCCCCTGGCCCTGCACCTGGTGAGTGGGGGAAGTCCAGCTCCGGGGAGCTGTGGGGAGGCAGGGAAAGAGAAGGGAACCCTCACGAGGGAGCAGGTCAGGATCTCCTAAAGGGGGCGGGGGCGGGGGCGGGAGGGCTTCAGGAATTTGGGACCGAGAACGTGCAAGGAAACGGGGCGCTGTGGGGTGGGGGAGTCAATGGAAGGGCAAGGAGTAGACAGGACTCTGGGTTCACTAATTGATGCCAAGTATTTAGATGAGTCAGACTCTGCTGTCGCTGGGGAACGTTGACCCCTTCAAGTAGACGGACAGCCCTAGGCCTCGTTGTTGGTTAGTTGGGATAATGTTTGGTGTAAAATATGGTACATGATAGACAAAAAGGCAAAACGAAATGTCAGAGGCAAACCTATTTCAGTTCTTATGCATCCTTCACCCTATTCCCCTCCTGTTTTGCTTGGAGAAGGCAGGTTCCATTATCAGTTACTCACCTTGCAATTTCCAAACTGCTGGCAAAGGAGTCTATTAGGGAAATATAAAAATGGATAAATCCAACGTACTTCATGCTAAACAGAGGTTATGGTACCTACTTACCTACTTGGGACCTGAACGTTTATTAGAGTTGAATATTTGCTGAATAACTACATACATGACCTTCTTAGGTAAATTAAATATACCGAATTGAAGCAGTAGCTACTTATATTTGAAAATCTATATTGATAAAGTGCTGCATGGCTTGTTAAAGTTTGTGTGCTGAGAATCTAATTTTGATGTGTCTGCTGAAGGACTTTATTCCTAAAATGCTATTTGGACTGTCTTCCACAAGCAAAAATCTTTGATGAGTTTGCATGGTGATGATTTGTTGTCTTTTTCCTTTTTTTTTTTTTTATGGTAGTTTAACCGGAGAGTGAGAATTCTGAGTGAATTTAGGCTTCCTGAGTTAAATTTTGGGTCCACTTCTTCCTAGTTCTATGACCTTGGGGAAGGTTATTTACCTTATTTGATTTTTTTCATTTTTCTCACATGGAAGATGAGAAACATGATTGTACCATATTTATGGAGTGGTTTGGGGGAGTTAAATGAGATGGCAAAGCCATATGTCTATTTTGATCTGGGATTGGACTCAGACTTGGATTTACAGTTCTGTTCTGTTATGAAGGGTCTTCAAAAAGTTCACAGAAAATGCAAAGTATTAACAAACCATGTATGGATTTCCAAAACTTTTTTTTTCAGAAAAATTACTTTTAATTCCATTTTTTCCATGAACTTTTTGAAGTACCATGTACTTATTAGCTGTTTAGGCTGACATGGGACCTCTTTAAACCTTAGTTTTCTCCTTGTTAAAATGGATGTGGTGATGATCACTTCAAAAAAATGAAAATTTTATATGAAAAGCATTTCATACAGAACTGCATGGAGGCCCTTCCATAAATGCAAATTTCCTGTTGTGATTTTGTGCATCTTTTTCTTTTAGCCTATAGGTCCCGATGTTTCTTCTTTGGCTAGAGAGTAGCATAGCAGAGATTTGAGGAATACAGGCCTAGGTTCAAGTCCTGGCTCTGTTTGCTAGCTGTGGAAGCTTGAGTAAGCTTCAGCAAAGTTCAGCTTCCTGGTTTGTAAAGCAGGGACAAAACAGTACCTTTCCTGTGGAGTGAACTTGAGGGCAGAATGGATTCATGAATGGAAGAGCTCACAATACCTGCCACATAGCAAGTGCTTAATATGAGAGAGTTTTTGCATTTCCTTCTCTTTTAAAATCTTTTTGTCCTTCAAAGCCCAATGGGATGCCCTCCCTGTCTCGGATTCCATCTAGTTAGTCTTAATTTCTTTTCTCTTTTGCTATTATACCGTTCTATATTTAATATGAGTATTACAACACTTTTTGAAGTCCACCTTCTCTAAGTGCTTTGTACTTAGTTGTTGAAATGTGTGTATATAACCTCTACCCCTAGATCACAAGCTTTATGAGGGCATAGGTTTTGATTTTGTTGATCCATCTTTTTTTTCCTTGTTGTACCTTGCTGAGTGTCCTGCATTTAGTTAACAGTAATCTTATATCATAAACTGGTGCATCTCTCTGTTCCAACCAGCATTTGTGTTGCCTTTATCATACCCCTCTCCCATATATACATGAATATTTTCTGGTAATCAAGACAACATACACTGCACCTAAAACATCACTCTATTTTAACTTTTAATGTATGTTTCTGCAGTGTTTCCTGTATGCCTACAGATTCATTTTTATAAAACATCACTTAAGGTTTGATATATACATGTGATCAGAACCCTTAATTTCTACCTAATCATGTTTTACTAAGTACCTTGATTTATTTCTTGTATTTGGAAACAGGAAGTTGTCTTCTTTTAAAATTCTTATTTAGTGAAGGTTGGGCATTTGGCCTAGAGGTTAAGATGCTACTTAGGACTCCCACATCTAGTGTTGGAGTACTTTCATTCAATTCCTGACTCTGCTTCCAATTCTAGCTACCCACTAATGCACACCCTGGGAGGCAGCAGGTGATGGTTCAAGTTGCTGGGTCCCGGTCACCCAGGTGGGAGACCTGAATCGGATTTCTGCTTCTGGATTAGGCCTGGCCTAACCCTGGCTGTTGCAGGCATTTGGGGAGTGAACCAGTAGATGGGAGTGTGCTCTCACACTCTGACATGCATGTGCTGTCTCTCAAATAATAAGAACAAAATTAAATTTACTCTTGTGTTGGACTTTTTTGATCAAAAGATTTATACCAAAATTTTTGTATCTTTATGCCAATGTGCCTTTATCTATCATAGAATAATTATCTGTGAATACATCTATTTTTGTACTACTATTTAATACATGGATTATCTCATTTTCAAAAGTGACAGTTTATTTTTCTTATGCTGGTCTCCTGGCCTCTGAATGTGCCCTTAGATAGAAGAGTCTCCCTCCCCCATCTGAAGGTTCTATCCTCTGCTCTGGATGCTAAAATATATTCCTCGGCACTTCAGTGCTGCCTGTGATTGTTACATCTTTTTCAATTTGTTCTACTTGCAAGAATTGGATCCAAAAAAAGATAACTGCTCACTGATAGCAGAAGCTTATTAAAAATTCTGTTATTTAATGTGTCCTGGATTTTTTTGGTTTTTGCTCAATTTCAGTTTAAACATTTAATCAAGATAGTTCCACTGTTGGGAGAATACACATTTCAATTTGATGAGAACCCTGAATATATGAATATAAATTTTATGAATTTTCTAAGCCCTAGAATTTACTTAGATATGAATAGTAATGTGCAAAGTAATTATTTATTAGCATTTATAAACTATATGTTTATGAGAAATGCTAAAAAAGGGCACAGTGAGGGTCTGGCACTATGGTGCAGTGGGTTAAAGCCATGGCCTGCAGCACTGGTATCCCATATGGGTACTGGTTCGAGTCTTGGCTGCCTCACTTCTGATCCAGCTCCTTGCTGATGCGCCTGGGAAAGCAGTAGAAGATGGCCCAAGTACTTGGGCCCCTGCACCCACTTGGGAGACCTGAAGGAAGCTCCTGGCTCCTGGCCAGATTGGCTCAGCTCCGACCATTGCGGTCATTTGGGAGTAAACCAGTGGATGGATGTCTCCTCTCTCTCTCTCTCTCTCTGTAACTCTGTCTTTCAAAACAAATAAAATAAATATTTAAAAATAAAACACAGTGAAAAACATTATTCCAATCTAGATGGTTTGGAGTTTACTTGATTCATTGTCTACTTACTTATGTTTGGACAAAGATTTGTCTTCAAAGATATTTAAACTTACACTTATCGCATTTGTTATTATTTTGAGATGAAAAACTCAATGGAGAGCTTTATGAACAGGAGAACATGAGCATGATTCTGGCCTTTTGTAAGTTCTGAGAGCACCAGGTTCATGTCAGAAGACATTGTTTCTGTTTTTCTGTTGTTAATTTGAGGCCTTATACAAGTTACTTCACTTCTCCAGACCTTCATTTTTCCCATCTGTAAAATGGGTTTCATTCTATACATTTAGCAACTAAGGTCCAGAGAAGTTCAGTTACTTGCCCAAGATTATTTAGAGATAATAGATGGTAAAATTCAGAATTTTAGAGGTCCTGTTGTATCCAAAACTTAGGCCTTTCCATGAATGACACTGTGCTGGTTCACACTCTACACATGAGAGTACTTTGAACTCTGCTGACAGGTAGACACACATAAAATAGGATTGTGATATTCTTGGTGACATTTTAGTCAACTCTAGTAGAAAGGAAAAATTGAGTAGTGGAAAGATGGATGGAATCATCCTGTCCTTGAAGACCCCATGCAGGGCCACATCATCTAGGATTTTCCAGGGCTGATAATTGTTGTTAAGATGGGCACCCTTTCTCTCATGTATAGATAGAAAGCTTGGATCTTCATGGATGCAACTTTATGTTTTCTTTTCCTTTATTTTAGCTGAACATATTCTGTTTCTAGTTCTGCCTTTTGAATTTAGGCTTACAGACCTTGTTTTTTAAAAAATAACTTATTTTTTTTATTTATTTGGAAGGCAGAGAGAATAAATGAGTGAGTAAGAGAGAGATCTTCCATTCTCTGTTTCACTCCCTAAATGGTTGCAACAGCTAGGACTGGGCCAGGCCAAAGCCAGGAGCTAGGAACTCTTCCAGGTCTCCCACACGGCTTGATAGGGCTCAAGCACTTGGGCTATCATCTGCTGTCTTCCCAGGAGCATCAGCAGGAAGCTTGATTGCAGGCACCCTCTGAAAATCAGGACTGCTTTTTAATTCTATTCTAGTTTCCCATGTTCATGACTTTCTGGTAGTTAAATTTATGTCTCCCTTCCCTCTCCTGCTTCTTTTAGGGGATCTTGAGATTTCTCCTCATTAGTGACTGGTGATATTTTGCAGGGTGCTCTTTTCATATACACTGTATTTTCCCCATGTTATGTCTAAAGCTTTAACACTTTATTGATTTTAATTTTAATTGAAGCGTCCAGTTCACTGGTGTTAATTCTCTTAGGTGGAACCTAACACCAGGTGATTATCATTT